GTCTGAGAAGACCAGCTCCGCGGCCGACGCTTCAGCCGCCAGACAGCCGATCTTCTGCCAGGCGGTCTCGGCGATGGGCCAGTCGAGCTCGGACGCTTCGAGTCGAAGCCAACGCCATCGAAAGACGAGACAGTCGGGCGGAGCCGACACGACTGCGGGGTCGTCGTAGCGACCCGTCAGCAACAGGGTCAAATTGGTCGTCTGCCCGAGGGTGATGAGAAGCGGTGGGCCGAAAGCAAAGTCTGCCGGTGGCGAAGGATCCTCGGGCGCCGGGCTGACGTGTCGATAGACGAGGCGACCGGCAGGACTCGAATCCGACGGCGGACCGGCGAAGATGAGCAAGCCGAGGTGGGGCGGTCGAGTGGGCGAATTGGCGCGATGCAACACGCTGACGCTCCTCTCAAAGATGAGCCCAGCTTCGGCCCAATCCGGCCCCGGTCGAGGCATGTCGAGACGGCAGACGAACTGATTGACCGGCGTCTGATGGGCTCGAGGCGCTGACACGCAGAATCCGGTGGCATCGTCGAAACCGTCTCTGGCCGCAGCCTCCGCCCATCCCGGGCCTGAAGGAAGATGAGCCCAGACCTGACCGGGCAGACGAGCCGGCGGCCCAAGGGGGTAGGCGTGAACGATCAACTGACCGGCGGCAGAGCCGAAGAAGACGTCGCCGGGCAGTGGAAGTGGACAGGCCAGGCTGAACACGTCGGTCCAGGCGAGCGGTGCCACCAGACCGGTCTGCGGTACGGTGCCGGTGAAGAGGAAGATACCAGCGCAGCCGGGACGCGGCAGACGACATGCCGAGGCCAAGTACCACGGACAACAGGGACAACAGGCGGGCAACTCGGAGGCGCGGTTGCCAGGCCGACCGGCGCCGGGGCAACACTCAAAGTGACCCCGATAGACGGCCCGGTCGGGCAGACCGACGGGCAGACGAATCGACAAACTCGGCCCATCGGCCCGGCCGAGCAAGCTGGACAAGCCGAAAGGGACACGCCATGCCGTGTTGTTGGCGTCTGGAGGAGGAGAAGGGGCACGGATGAGGCCGGCCGGTAGGTGGCAGATGAGTCGAAGACGACGCGTCGACAGGAGCACAGTGGCTCGCAAGAGGGGCGTGTCCGGTAGCAGGTTGAAGGTCTGCTCGTCTTCGCCTTGTCCCCGGACTCGAATTGGCCATACACCCAGCACCAAGACGAGCCAGACCAGACAAATGCCAACAACGGCCATCCCTCAACAGACAGGCTATCCAACTTCGACTCCGAGTCCGAGTCCGAGTCCGAGTCCGAATCCGGCTACTTGGTCGCCCAGGCAGTCAGGCCGGTCTCATGACGACAATTTGGTACTGCCTCGTCGGTGTGGCCGGCCGATCGGGCTAAAAGGGTCGAAAAGTTTGTTGCAGAACATCCAAACAGATAAACAACAAGAATTCTGGAGTAAGACACGATACTTGGCGGTTGAGTGAGCGAGTGACTGAATGAGGGAGTCAAGACAAAGGCGAAGAGAGAGAGATACAGACGGAGAGAGCAAGAGAGAAAGA